TATTATTATTATTTCTCAAAGAGGAAAACCAACTAACTGGTGTGAGAGATGGGCAGGGACGAAAATGTGCAACAATGAATGAATGGAAATCCAAAGTCTTCTGTAAACTTTCATTAAAACTTCAATTGAAAAATCTTCTCTAACCATGCGTTTATATTTAAGGGTCCATAAAAACAGCAAGAGGAAACTCCCCCTCGGGACCTCCCTTCCCAGTCCAGGGCCACGGGAGGTGTTCGTTGATTGACATGCGGACGCACGTGCGACGCTGGGAGCTGCCGGGAGGGGGCGCTCCGCGCACGGATCCCCCTCATTTCCGGCTCGGAGGCCGCCGGGGACAGAATACACTTGCAGCGCTCTGAGCATGCGCTCCCCCTGGTGCATTAGCCTCATTACTACATGCGCGGAAGCAGTCTTCAGGTGCCTCGTTAGCGCAGTAGGTAGCGCGTCAGTCTCATAATCTGAAGGTCGTGAGTTCGACCCTCACACGGGGCATAATACTTTTGTTCGCTGGAGACCTCAGTTCCCGAGGCTGGTTGCTTCGGAGAGGCTGAGTCGGGAAGGTTCACTGGCACCGAGTCACCCCACGCGGCCTCCCTGCCTGTGCTCCCTGGTCCGCACCGCTGACCGGCCCGTGGAGGTGCCCACCCAGGTCCGCTTCGTGTCAGAGCCGCTGCCTTGTACCTCGCTCCCTTCTCAGAGCGGCCGGCAGGCGCTCCGCAAACAAAGTGTCTTTTAGTTCAAAAAACGAAATAAAGCAGAATAGACGGAAGGAACTTTTATGCAGAACACTCGGAAACGGGAGAAAAAAGGGAATTTTGTTTGTGTGATGGAGTTTACTGAGAAAACGAGCTCATCCCGTGGCCATGAGCCGACGTAGCGCCGGGCGGGTTTCCCTAAGTGAGCCCTCGATCGGAAGCAGTGGGATCGGAAGCTGGGACACTGGACCATGAGCACAGTGTCCATCCCGTGAGTCCGCGGTGGCGGGACCGGCCGAAGGGTGAGCACGGTGTCCATCCCGTGAGTCCGCGGTGGCGGGACCGGCCGAAGGGTGAGCACGGGGAAGCCGGTCAGCGTCCCGGGCACGTGTCCGCTGCGATGCCAGTCAACCTCCGCTCCTTCCGGTGGGCGCGCCGGGCCGGGCTGCACCTGTCACCAGGGGGCGCGCTGGCCCAGCATTGTCTCCGCTGTTGGGACCCACGTTCAGCTGGCCTGGGGAGCCTCTTTTTTTTGGGGGGGGGGCTCTTCTGTTGCAACCGTGTAGCTGTGTCCACTGTGCACTTGAAACCACCGAACAAACTAAGAGGCAGACTACAAACACACACAGAGCGACACACTTGTGCATTTGTTATTGCCTGTCGCCTCTGCAGTGGATCCACTTTGGCGAGCACGTGCCCATTCTGCAAGATGCATCGGCATTTCCAATCCTTTTTTCCAAGCCCATGACTACCTAGGGAACTGTAATGCTGGAGTTTAGATCTCCGTACTTCTGGTCATCTCCAGAGCAAACTGGCCAAGCAAATCCATCCCTCTTGGAGGAAGAGCACCCAGCGTGGTCCTCAGAGTCAAGGATATCGAGGCTTTGTCACTTGGCTCATGTTATCAAGGGCTCTGTCTCTGAAGGAGGACATCATGCTTGGGAAAGCAGAGGGTTGGCAGACAAAGAACCTTTACAAGGTAGGTTGGCATGAATTTGTCCCCAGGTGGCCAATGGCTGTGCTCGGAGCCTCCCAGTAGAGCTCATTAGAGGCTCCAAACCCCATCCCTGTTTGCACCAGTTGCCCTGAGACTCATTGATTTTGCTGGAGTTCAAGGTCTTACTGGAAGAAGCTTTGTCTGCACTTTCTGAGGCAACGTCTCTAGCACACGCTGGCTGACTTGGGGGATCTGTACTAAGTCAGCCCAAGCTGCATGCTCAGAGGTGGTGTATTTTGCCTCTAAATCCAAACGGTGTGCCTACTTAGTGGTCAAATGTATCAGGTGTAGCAAAGAGTCTTATCAAATGTGGTATCTTCACATTCCACACCAATGAATTCCCAGAAAGAAATGCAGAGACCTTGTGTTTTTACACCATCTATCTTCCACTCATAGTGTTGAGGACTTTCATTGATAGGGTTGCTATGAGTCACCTACGATTTGACAGCACTTAACAACATCATCTTCCACTCATAGGTTCAGCTCATATTTCTAATCATCTCATGTATTTTCTGGGGACCTCTAGGCACACAGTCTGGTAGAGAATAGCTCTGCGCACACTATGTCTGCACTTCCTCCCTGAGGTTCAAAGCCACCAGCAGGGAGATTGGTGGGCAGTCTCCTCCCATTCTGATGTCCAGCCCCAGCCCTGAAGGAGGGTCAGTTATGACTTGGTTTCGACTCGACGGCAGTCAGAGAAAATGTATTTGAGACTTCCTGTCTCTCAATCAATATGTTAGCGTGGATGGGGAGAGATGTGGGCCAAGTCCTGGTGACGACATGGCCACATGCTCAGCTGCTCAAACTGGAAGCAGACTGGGACCTGGGAAGATTTAGGGCCCTTTTGGAGAAGGTCTACTTGGTCCTGCAGGGTTGCTGAGTTGGCACTGATTGGGCTGCAGTGTGTGGTGGTGGTGGCAGGACGGGCAGTGATGTGGGGATGGGAGGCTGTTGGCTACCTCAGTGGTTCAGATTAGGGCAGAGTTGCTGGCATCTGACTTCTCTCCAGGGAGCTGTTTCCTGCTGCCGGGGACTGCATACGAGCTCTGGTCCAGGCAACGTGAACCTCTGCTTTCTTGATGAGGTCTGAGCCTGAGCTTTGGGGGGGGCTTCACTTCCAAGTCTGTCCTTCCTTGAGTACTTCCCCCTCCCCTAGTCTCCTATAGCAATCTCTTCACAGATTTAGAATTAACTCCTTTACCTGTTTTAACACTTTCTCTATTTAAACGTGACTATCCATAACCAAGCTGTAGGTCTCAAAGCGTGGGACCATAGAAGCATGATCCTGTCTCTTCCTTTTCTGATGAGTCATTGGCAAGAAGAATTTGTGCAATCTCAGGCCAGATTGGTCCCAGAGTAATGGAAAAATCTAGAATCTCTAAGTGCACCTGTGTCAGTAAGCCTTATCCAGCCTTGATAGTCATCAGTGTAAGTCCCCGCCTGGCACAGTTTATGCACAGCGAACTCATAGGGTCGCTATGAGTTAAAATCAAGTCAGCACCTAACAATCTAAAGCTTGGTGGTTCAAACCCACTCAGCCGTCCCAAAGAAAAGGGCTGGTGATAAACTTCTGTAAAGATCACGGCCAGGAAGACCCCGTGGAGCAGGTCCACTGTCCTGCAGGATTTGGATAAGACTCAGTGACAATAGGTTGGGGTGGTTTTGTGGGGGATAGTTCATTATCATCATGACTGATGTGTTCCCACTGGGGAAAGGCATTTGGAATATTCTCAAATCTCGCTCAACTTTGGAGAAGTCAAACTGGAAAAAACGGTGAATATAATAAATCCTCAGTCACGCTTAAGAATTTATCCACTGCCTTTGAATTCATTCTGACAGGCACTCTGTGCGTGAGCTGAAACTCAACACTGACTCACTGCTGACAATTCCCACAGAGAGGAACCTGTGAATGGAGGCGGTATGGGGGCCTGTAGGGACCACTCATCACCAGACTCAAGGGAAATGGGAAATTTCCAGTATAGCTAGTGTGGGAAAAATTGTAGCTCAGTTCAGGCCTCACTCAACCCCAGAAAACTCATAAAATAGGCTGGAAGGGAGCTGCAGACAGAACAGGAAGAAGCAGGAAAAGATCATCAGGAAGGTATTTTATGTAATTCCTTAAATGTGATTGTTGTTGTTATGTGCCGTCGAGTCGTTTGCGACTCATAGCGACCCTATGTACAACAGCCCTAAACCCTGCTCTATCCTGTGCCAATCGCATTGCCTCTGACACACCCATCCCGATTACCCCAGTCACTGAATCAATCCACCTCATAGAGGGCCTTCCCCTCCTGCGCTGTCCCTCCACCCTCCGAAGCATGATGTCCTTCTCCAAGGACCAGTCCCTCCTTACATGTCCAAAGTATGTCAGACAAAGCCCCAGAATCCTTGCCTCCAAGGAGTAGCCTGGTTTAACCCTCTCTAGGATGAATCTGTCTTCTTGGCAGTCCATTATGTTTGAAATAATAATTGAGGGCACAGGACCAGAGGTTCAGCCAAGGATCCAAAACTTGCTGGGAGTGTGGCTTTAGTGGGATTTTTATTGGAAGACCTGTAGACCCAGAGAAAATGGGGGGGGGGGCGGAATAATAGGATTGGGAAAAACCCATAAATCCACCCCAAACAAGAACATTGTAATTTAGTAATAAATTTAAAAAAAATAGCTACACTAGTTAGTACGATGTTGTTGTTGTTGTTGTGTGTGTATGTGTGTATCTGTCTGTGAGAGAAAGAGAGAGAGAGGAAAGGGGGAGGTTGCCAAATCAATTGGAGAATAGGTGTGAATTCTCAGAAAAGAACCTAAGCTTTGTGGCTGGCGGATGACGGAAGTTTAGAATTCAGATGCTTTAAGGTGAACAAAGGGAGCTCTGGTGGCAGGGTTTATTATGAGTCTCATTGCTAACTGAGATGTTCAAATCCACTAGCCGCCTGGAGGGAGAGCTGCAGAACCTGAAGGAGGGCCCCTCTGAGGAACAGACTAGATAGTTGAAGGCTTTCTGTTTTAAGCATAACAGTTTCAAGTTCATCAAAGCCCCCATCCTACCCTGTGCATCTCATCTGCTGTGAGTCCCGGTTAGCATGCACGTTCCCCGGCCTGGTTCCTAGGGCTCCGGGGGACACAAGAGAGCATGAGGCTGAGAGTCTATCATTTTAGGACTCTGCTTATTGGACTAACAAGGGCACATTTCTTACTCCGAGATGTGACCCCCGAGGGGACAACAGTCACTATCCATTACACTCTGCAGGGGGCGCTGTTGGCTCCTAAGGATCACCAGATGAGACCCTAACCTGGTGCAGGTCAGGACCTGCACAGAATCTCAAAGGCACGCACTCTGAATCCAGCACCTACTCTGTAAAGGGAGAGGAGTCTCTTCCCGTGTCATTTACTGCCTGGGTCAGCCATGGGTCGGTTCCGACTTGACCGCACACAAGGGTGGCCTAATGGTAAAGAGTTGCACTGATAACCCAAAGGCACACTGTTTGAATCTACCAGATGCTCCGTACGAGAAAGATGGGCATCTCCTCCCCTGCAATTCACATCCTCTGAAAACCTGCAAGAGCGTCAACTAAGAGTTGGTTGTGACGGAAAGACACACAACATTATACCCTTACTGTTTGTCAACCTCCGTGTTGGGAACTTTACCCACCTGACCTTAGTTAACCCTCCCATCACGTCTGTGCTCTCTGGCAGAAAAGGCCAGATCAGTGCTTTGCAGGAGGCGCTGAAGGGGTGAGCAGTGCTGGGGACTCAGGGGTGTGGGGAGGAGGGGTTGTCAGAAACAGAGGCCGGGATCTGACAGCTGGGGGACAGGACCACAGCTTACACACTTGTTGACATAGTTCTTTCGTTCTCAATTTTAGTTTATTTAGTGATGTGTTTCTGGTGGCGAGAGCATTTTATTGTTGAGTGAAAGTTTATGGAGCAAATTAGTTTCTCATAGAATGTTTTATTCACTCTGTTTTGTGACACTGGCTGCAACCCCTGCAATTGGAATAGCACCCTTCTCTCCTCCCTGGGTTCCCCACTTCCTTTCACCCTTTCTCGCTCCTTTCTCCCTTCTGAGCTGCGCCGTCGCATGGTTGACTGCGTCAAGGAGCATGTTCCCAGGGTGCCATTCCTCACTGTCCAGGCCGGTCTACTGTTTGGCTGAAAGGTGGTCTCTAGGGGTGAGTTCACTGGAAGGGTGTTCAGGGGTCGACAGGGCTTTTAAAGAGACTCCTTTCTATTAAACTTAAGGTATTTAAGTTGGTCCTTTCCACTTAGAAGAGCCTATACAAGTTTTAGTATTTCAAACAGGTTTTATTGTGAAAAGAGTTAAGAAACTGTAAGTGAAAAGGTATGAGAATTAAATAGAACACATAATTGTTACTTGCTTTTTATACAAAAGGTAATCTTGATAGGAATTTTAAATAAATAACCTAAAATCAGTGCCAGTGATTGCAAAGGAAGTATCTCTCTTGTTGTCTGGCAGTGATGCGTCTCCTAAGAAACCATCAAGTGAGGACGCGGGTGCTGCCTGCTGCGGGCCTGGGCGGCAAGCCTCTGGCGAAGATTCCGCACTTTCTCCAGAACATCTTGTTCTTTGGTGTCCCCATCTAGTTTTCTTCGATTAAAAGAAACTTGGAAACAAAATTGAAAATTAACAATTTACCCTCATTTCATTTTCTAAGCTCACAGTGCCAGAGTTTATTTTCAAGTAACTGGGCTGCCAAAATCAATAATAAAACGAATATTCTAAAATTGCAATTTCTTGAACAAAAAGCCCGACGTGCTACTTGGTCCTTGGTGCCATTTGCATGCCAACTTCTTCTCTGTTGACTGGAATAGATGGTGCTAGAAAACTCAACCACCGTGGAATATAGGATAAATTACAAATGCCCTGGGTCTGTCTGTACTATATTTGAGTTTTAAAATAAAATTTTGATTTTTTTTTAAGTTGATGCCATTTTCTTGTGCTACTTTAAGACACAACTATTCTGAGGAGCAATAATCAGTAAAGCATGTTTTTATGGAAATGAACTGGAACCAGTATTTTGGGAACAGATCTCTTTCTGGCGGGTTCAGTGGTTGCTGAGAACCCTGGGACCATCTAGCCGCAAGCTACAGGATGGGTGTGATGTTTTTGTTTAACGAGTTGTATTTTTAACAGTTCAACCTCCTCATCCGACCCCTTCAAGCCTAGACAGGTGGTGGAAAGGGATGAGGAGTAACTGAATAAAGGTGTCCTAACACACCTTGTGGGAAGCATCACTGCTAAGAGCACACTTGAGAGGACCGTGGGGACGCTGTGGAGAGGGCGCTCCCTCGTGGACACTCACCTTCACTACAGCACGAGTTTTCAGCATGTTTTAAAGCGTCACTTAACTCCTGCTCCAAAAACCACCTTCTCGATGCGTCTGAAAGAGCAGAAGCTCTCTTTTCTGATTTCAAATGGAACTCTTCTTCTTCAGCTTCCTCCCTCTAAGTATAAATAAGTGATAAACACCAAAATCAGACATTGTGACAATGCAGTTTCGGGCAGCAGTTTCCTCGCCCTCACCCCGGGGTGCACTCCCTCACACCTAAGTCCACCTGGTGTCCCAGTGTTGGGGGCCCAGCCCAGGGCCATGAAGAACCTGAAAGCAGGGCCCATGGCACGTTTCCTCTGCACGTCAGGGAGCCACTGGGCATTCAGAGAGATTCCCACTGACAGTTGTTTAAATAGCAGTTATGAGGAGAAGTACGCCTTTTTGATTAATGGCAACTGAATGTGATGCAATGTCAATGCTAAGCTGATGTTAAAGTCTACAAAACTGACAGAATGAATTCTTTGTCTAGTTCTGCTACTCACAATGACCGCGGCTCTTGTTAGGCGCCATCGAGGTGAGTCTGACTCATAGTGATCCTGTGACAACAGATCTGACCCCTGTCCTATCTGGCACCATCCTCACCCTCCCTGACATACCTGAGCCCATCCCTGCAGTCACTGCGTCAATCCATCTGGTTGAGGGTCTTTCCCTCTTTTGCTGACCTGCCACCTTTCCAAGCACAATGTCCCTCTCCAAGGAAAAACCTCTCCTGGCCGTATGTCTGAAGGATGTGAGATGGTGCTTTGCCATTCTTGCTTCCAACGGGCATTCTGGCTGTATTTTTTCCAAGAAAAGATCTGTTTGCTGTCCACATGGGATATTCGGTACTCTTCTCCAATACCACAATTCACAGGCATCACTTCTTCTGTCATCCTTATTCATTGTCCCGCTCTCAGAAACATAGCAAATGACTGAAAAGACCACGGCCAGAATCAGGCACACGATAGTCTTTAAATCAACATCATTGCTCCTCAGGACTTTGGAGAGGGTTCTGACAGCAGACTTCCCAGATCAATATGTCTCCTGATCTCCTAACTGCTGGTGTCAAGTGCGTTGAGTGCAGATCCAAGTCACATGAAATCGTTGACAATTTCAATCTTGTCTCCATAAAGCAGTTTAGTAATTCTATTAAACCCAACTTTCTCCTCCACAGGAGCCCTGGTGGCGCAGCACGCAATGTGCTGGACTAAAGGGTGACCGTTTGAATCTGCTAGTTGCTCTGTGGGAAAGAAAGATGGCACTGTCCTCCGACCAAGACTGGAAAACCTGACGAAGAGCCATCACGAGTCAGAGTCAAGGGGTAACTAATACATTTTACAAGACTGTACAATCCTAAAGCTTAACAGTGTCCTAGGTAGCTCTCTTACATGTATGCATATATACCATTAAGGAGTTCATCATGATTTATAAAGACCAGGTTGACAATTCAGACTGGCAGGGCTCAGAAGGGCTGGAGAGCTACATCTCTTTCAACTGGCTAATGGGAGACCAAGTCTGGGCACCTGGCAGCTTTGGAGACTGGACACAGGAAATGCGTGACACTCTTAAATAGTTCTGTCTTCGTGACACACTCTTAAATAGTTCTGTCTTCGTGACGCACTCTTAAATGGTTCTGTCTTCTCTCAAATGTGCACTTTCTGCTTAAGCCCGCCTGTTCCTTCCTCCAGTGAAGCCCTCTGTCAGCACATCCTGCCTTGGAGATGTGGACTTGCACCACTCCTTTCCTCAGGAGGAAGCCTCACTAAGCTGGCTCCGCCCTCCCCAGCCTTCCTCCCTCTCTCTAACCAAAGGGCTGAAAGATAGAGCCCCATATTCCATTGGGAGGAGGGAGCAGTGAACAGAATCTGGAATAGTGATACACTGTGATAAACTCTTTCAGAACTGTCCTTAGGCACTGGCAAGTTGGTTCAAACTCCCAGCAACCCCGTGTCCAACAGAACAGGGCCCAGCCTGACCCTGCACCCTCTTCACAATCGCTGCTGTGTCTGAGCTCATAATCGCAGCCACTGTGCCCATCACACTACGATACAGCAAACAGAGGCATCACCTGAAGCCACCTGCCTGGTTCCTACCCTTTTCTCGAGCACTTGTGTGTCCTTTTGAAAGTCACTTATCCACCATATTCAGGACGTCCGCAGTGCCCATGCCCTGGTGTCGCCAAAGGATTACCAAAGGGCATGTGGACCAAAACACTCAGGTGTCTCTGAAAGTTCTCTGCTTCCTCTGCAGGCGCAGCATCTCAACTTGATTGGGGATGACAGGACACACCCAGCATCCCTGGCAGCAAACGCCACTACAACAGTGAAGTGGGGCTTCTGGATGGAACAGGGAGCTGCCTCAGCTTGGGGTGAAACCTTCTGCACCCCCACACCCTCTTCTTGCTGCTGCCTGGCTAGCTGTAACATCCTGGCTGAAATCCAGGCACCAGGAAGCAGTGCAGAAAGGCGAGACGCCACTGCCCTCCTGACTGTGGTGCCAGAACCATTCCCGTATTTCCCACACACAGGCTGCTGTCCTGGGGAGGCCATCCATTCCCGCCCTGCCCTGCGCCGGCTGCTGTCTGGGGAAGGCCAACCACTCCCGCACTGTCCTGCACAGACTGCTGTCCGGGGATGGCCATCCACTCCCGCACTGCCCCACACAGGCAGCTGTCTGGGGAAGGCCAACCACTCCCGCACTGCCCCGCACAGACTGCTGTCCGGGGATGGCCATCCACTCCCGCACTGTCCTGCACAGACTGCTGTCCGGGGATGGCCATCCACTCCCGTCTCGTTTTTTTTGACAGTCACTGCTCCCGTGGGTTTTCTTACAGCTATGCACAAATCCTCACTATTCAAAATCTTTCACAGTGTAAGTCTAAAGAATTAAGTACATTAAATACCACTTTATTATCCAATCAGCCAGAACAAATTCAGGAAGCTGAGCTACATTCAAGCAAATGAGAAACATTCTTTATACGATTTTTACTTGGGTTCTGGCTCTGGGCACTGGCTATTACATTTAGATTAGCATTAAGATCTTTTTAAATAAAAAAAAACATTTGGTTTGAGGATTGTATCCTTTTATTAGGTCACATTTGAAACTTGAATCTTGAAGCTTACTTCCATTCTTCTTACCTTCGCAGCTTCCGCCTCCTTCACTGCATCTAACACCTCCTTCTCTTTCCTCCTGTTATTCCGCAGGAGCCTGGCCATTTGCTGGTAGCACTCCCGCCGCTGCTGGTCGCCGTGCCTCTGCCTGTGTAAGGCCTGAATCCGCCAGTTAGCGTCTAAGCAGGCCTGCTCAACATCGGCCAGGTTTTCTTCAATGACCTGAGAAAAGGTTATAAATGGGAAGCCAAACTTTATACCAAATATTATATGAAAACCCTTGTTCAGGAATTGAAGGAATTACAGATATTTAAGTTAGGATTTCTCTTGTGGCAGATCCTAGAATATGAGCTGTTTTTTCCCTGCAAGACAGGAGACAGCAAAGGTCCCCCTACTGAGGGAGTGTTACTTCCTGAGCTGGAGTTCACCCTGAGGCATCAAAGTTAATAGTTAAGGGTAAACCAAATTCTTGCATTTGCGAACTCCTCCCTCCTGAGTAAAGCAGAAGGTTTTAGAAAGAGCTTGGCTTCATTTGCATTTAGTTCTCTTTGTGATTTACTTCCTGATAATTTTCAATAAAGATACAGGAAGCTTGGCTTGGGGTCTTCAGTTGAGGACTGCTGGCCCCCTGTTTTATGCTCTCTGCTCTATCACATTCCTGGCTGTTTGTCTCTTTATTAATAATTATAAAATTATTTCATTCTTTGGGACCGTCGGTCTGCAACAGTTATAAATTACAGAAACAAGCCCAGAGCACATAAAATGACAACATTTCTCTTCACTCTAGCCAAGAATCCAGGGAAGCTGTTGTCAGTTCTGGCTACACATGAGAATCACTGGGGAGCTGTTCAAATGTACTGCTGGCCTTGTACCGCCATAACCAGCGAAATCAATCTCCTGTATTTTTAAGAAGCTCCCAGTGACTCCGTGTCTGGCACGCCTCGTCTTTCTGCACTTCACTGGTATTGCCAATCTGACAAACTGAAGGCCTGCCGCAAGCACCCAGCAAGCAAACCTACTAGAGCCATTATTTCCACTGCATTTGCTCACTTTGGGTCTCTGTCACATTGTTGGTAATGTTCAGAGTATTTAAAACTTTCTTATATCCTGAGAGAATGAGAACGGAGGCCCAAGCGGAGACTTGTACACCAATGCTCACTGCAGCGTTATTCACCATTGCAAGAACACGGGACCCGCCCAAATGTCTGACCACAATCAAAGGGACTGAGAAATTACGGCACATTCACCTGCTGGACTACTACGATGCAGCACGCAGGGGCAATAATTTTGCAAATTATTACCTAACTTGGGAGGGACTGGAGGGCATTATACTGGGTGAACCAACTCAGTCCCATAAGGACAAACACTGTGTAAGACCATCACTGCAGAACATGTATGAGGATCCAAGGGGAGGAACAGAGGCGTAAGGATGGGGGGGGGGGGGTGAGGCATTAGTAGGGTCGTACAATTTGATGGGTGGAGGGTGGGTGTGAAGAAATGGGAAAGCTCCGGTGTGAAAAACAATGTATGCAATATTTGAAAATAAATCAGTATAAAATAAGAATTGAAAAAGAAAAAAAATAAATTCTAACAATGTTATTAGACCCTTATGAGGCAATAGTAAATATGACTTTTATATGCACTGAGAAACAGACGCCCCCCCTCCCCACCCACAAAAAAAGCCTATGACTCGCTTCACTGTGCTCCTTCCATCACTGGGTGGTCTAGGACCAGATCCGCGGTATCTCTGGGAGGCTGGCACAGCCAAGGCTGGGAACACTGGGCTTGCGAGCCATGGGAGTCACTGGTTTCCACACCTCCGTTTTCTTGAAAAATGAGGCAGAAGAAAGCCTTCTCACAAGGAGGAGAAATGAGAGGTTACTCCCTATTCTGGGGAACTGGCCAAGGGCTGGTGTGAAACAGTGGGTGGGAAGCTTCCACTATACACCTGGCTTCCGGAACAAGGCCAGGCCTCATTAACATTTTTACGAAGGGCAATGAGAACATCCTATCTTGAAGGTCTCAAGTTCTATTTCAATTCACTTTGTCAGCATTTCTCAAAGGGGAGTTCCAAGAAAAACTGTGTAAAATAAGGTTAAGGAGTTTTTTTTTAGTGATTCACAAATATACAGTGTCCTCAAATTTGGCAAGAAAGACATGCAAGTTCAAGTTAGCATTCTCAACTGGCAAGCCCCTATTGGATGGAATAACAGTTACAACAACTAGTAAATTTCACAGAATACACCTTGTAATTGCTGCCTTACACACTAGGCAGGGACCTGATGTTTTGAAGAAAATTTCGAAGAACACTACGGCATGTAAAGTTACTATTCCCCTTCGTATTTTCTTAGAAGTCTTAACATTCTCAAAGGTGTGTATGACTTTCCATGAATTAAGCATTCTGTAGATAAAGCAATGGGAGATTCTAGCAACTGTGGTAAAGAAAGAAAGGAAACAACCGAACCTGATTTTACAGACTTCAATTTTGAATTTGCTTTTTTTTGGAAGGATGACAGACGGACAATCTCCCGCTATGTTTACACTAAGGAGTTCTAGTGATGGAAAGTGTAACCTATCCAACTGACACTCAAAAGGCTGGAAGTTCGAGTCCACCAGCATCTCCATGGGAAAACAGATGGGCAGTGTCCTCCTGTAGGAACGTACAGCCTTGGAAGCCTGATGGAACAGTGCTGTGACCAGAATCAACTCGGCAGCAGTGGGTTTCACATACACTAAACGTGCGGTACTTTTACCTTCTGAGTTTTTAGGCTCTGAGCATGATCTGTTTCTAAGAGTTTATGAAACATGTGTTCTTCAAGCTCCACCTTTCGTCTGTAGGCATCGGCATCTTCTCTCATTTCTTTCGCAGAAGCTTCTTGGTTTTGAGCAAGTGTCTGTTAAAATAATAATCGTTCATATATATTAAAAAAATCACTGATGTAGACGATAATGCTGAAGGGCATGCTGGTTGCATAGTGGTAAGGAGTTATACTGCCAACTCAAAGGCACATGGTTCGAATCCACTAGTGGTTCCACTGAAGAAAGATGGGCAATCTCCTCCTGTGTGATTAACTGCCTCTGAAAACCAGCTGGAGGGTCAGCTGTGGGTTGGCTGAGACGCAACAGTACATTACCTATTACAATGCTACACCACAGAAAGAACTTTTCTTTTTTCAGAACAGCAGTAGGTGCACAAAGAGAAAACTGTGACCTTCTAATTTTCAAAGGAAAAACAAGTGCAGGATGTCAGTGGAAATGGAAGGATAAGGGCTTCCCTAAAAGGCAATGAGGACACCAGGGAGAACGGTCTGTTCAACTCTAGAGGCAATAATCAAATCAGACAGCCGTCTGTCACTGCTGTCACACAGCATGGCTAGAAGGAAGCACTGTCTGTCTGACTCCAGAAGCTCCGGTGGTGCTGTAACTGAGGAATGCAGCTACAAACCACAAGGCCAACGGTTCGAATCCCCCAGCTGCTCCATTGGAGAAAGATGGGACACTCTGGGGAGCCTGTGGGCGGTTCTGCTCTGCCCTTCATGAGCTCTCTGGATTGCAAATGTCTTTGGGCTGTATAGCTCCATTGGGAGAGGACAGCCAGAAGCTTCCACCTTATCTATGTGACTTTTACACCTTAAATGATGTTACTCTGTCTCATTTTAGTGTCATAAATGCGAAGCATTCCTTCCACACCTTCTCTGTAGGCCATCATTAGCCCAAGGGCCATTTTAGGGACCTCAACCCAGGCATAGATACGTGATTTCATTTAATCCTTACAGCAGCCTGGGTAAGGTGGTACCAAGCCAACGAGAAGGCAGGAGAAAGAAGGGGCCTGAGGACACAAGGCCCTGAAGGAACAAGGCATGCTTTGGAATTTCTCATCGGCTTTTGCTCGTTTGTTCTGCTTAGTGGTTTTAGGAAATACTTGATTCAGACAGCATGCACGTGGAGCATCAAACGCCAATTTCTAATAGAGAAAATAACATTGTCGGCTCTCTGCAACAGAATTTGTCTAGAAATGCTGTTCTCAGGTGCTGTCGAGAGGGCTGTGAGTCACAGCAGCCCTGCACTATTATCTGCACCATCCCTGCCACAGCCCTGCACCGTCCCTGCAGAAATGCCGTCTCGGAGCCCAACGTCGCAGTCACTGTGTCAACCCATCTCCTTGAGGACTTCCTCTCTTTCTTCACTGACCCTCCACTTTTCCAAGTATGCTGTGCTTCTCCACGGACCTGTCCCTCCCGATAATATGCCCAGAGTATGTGAGTCCAAGCCTCGCCATCTGCACTTCTTTTTTTTAAATTTTTATTATTATTATTATTATTTTTTATGTGTGTACTGTCAAATCGGATCTGACTGGTACAGGAGGCAATTATTCCTCCTTCTTCAGCAGAGCATCTGGTGGATTTGAACATCACACCTTTGGGATTGCAGTGCAGCTTCTTGCCACTAGGCCACCAGAGCTTGCCATCCATCCACACTTCTAAGGAGCATTCTGGCTATGCTGCTTCTAACATGGATCTGTTTGTTCTTTTGACAGTCCTTGACATAGTCAATAGTTTTCACCAACCCCACAATTTAAAGGCATCAACCCTTATTTACTGTCTGTCACATGCATATGAAGCAAATGGAAATACCATGGCTTGGATCAAGTAAGTGTATTCTAGTCTTGAAAAGGACATCTTTGCTCTTTAGAATTTTAAAGAAGTTCTTTAAAGAACACTCTCTCCAGTGAGATGGACTGACTCGGTGACGGCGACCATGGGTTGCAGCGCCAGGGGACCTATGAGAACGGTGCAGGATGGGCAGGGCTCTGCTCTCCTATAACGTCATAATGAGCCCCAGTCACCCCAACAGCGGCTAAGAACCCCGGCTCTCCCCACGCTCCCCAGAAACCCCTGCAAAAAAAAGATGGCAAGAAGTAAATGTTAGCCTGCCTGGCCCAATGAATGACATCAATGTCAAAACCAAAGACGACTCAACCAAATTGCAGGTTCCTAGTTGAGAATAAAACAAAATTCAGAGTGGAAATTGAAAAAGGGCTATTGACATAAATGAGTACTTTAAATCTTATTAAACGTAAATATGAATGTTACCTTCTAGGAATTTTTAATTTACCGCTAATTGCATTCTGGAGGCCTGAGTTTTAAGAGGATTGAAGAAAATGCAAACTTAGGGCTTCAATGTTAACTTTGGGCATAAAAGCTTAACAAAAACAAATACATTGAAATATAAACATTCTTTTACTATTCAGATACTTTAAAAGTGAATAAAGCTTTTCCTAAATAATAGCTATTTACACTAACAAGTGTCATGCACTGGAAATGCAGGTTCTAGAAAAGATTTGCTGATGTGATTGCAGGAGTTTCAAATGGAAAGTGCTCCAAAGCCACGGCCTGTTCTACGTTACAAGACCTCTGAGAATTATTCTTGGGATGGGGTCACGGTGACCATCACAACTACATCTGGTGCTTCAGACACTTAGCTGCTGACAGAAACATGAATGAAAGGATTATAGCAAATTCCTTTTATTCAAACGTTCTGAGGACCTTACAAATCTGGATGATGGTAGATTCTGCTTGTTGTTGTTGTTGTGTACCATCGAGTCGGAACTGACCCGTAGCTGACCCTCCCGTGGGTTTTCAGAGGCATGTAATCACACGGGATGGGAATGCCCATCCTTCTCCCACAGAGCAGCTGGTGGCCTCGAACGGCGTGCCTTTGGGAATGCAGCGCAGCTTCTTACCACTAGGCCACCAGAGCTCATATAACCAAAACAAACATCTGAATAAAACTAAAATCACTCGTTTCTTACAGGAAAAGAGCTGACTCCTACCTTTTCATAAAGTCTCTGTTGTGATTCAAGCTCCAAGTTTCTCATTTCGAGGTCTCTGGCTGTGGCAGCGACTTCTTGATCCCTCATATGCACCTATGGCCAAGGAACAAACTGAATACCAGGAGGGATTTGCAAAATGCTTTCTTAACAGATTTAGTACTTTTCTAATTTGAACAACCTACAAAGAATATATAACAAGAATTGGGTGTTTGAAGCCAGAAAAACTGGCACTATATTGACAATACATAGTATACTAATTAACAACATTGTCAGGCTATATTAACAGTATATTAGCATGTAGAATCTAGGCAGAATTTCTGAGATAAAGTAATGCTACATTTTGAAAAATGCAAGCACAATTACCATATGCTCATCTATCCAGACTGTGGGAACAGATGGCAGATCTTACCATATTATAGTAACCAAAATTATGAGTTAGAAAAACTTAACAGTTAAGTCTTAGCTAAAGATACAGAATATTTAATCTAATCAAACATTTATTTAATGCTCTTTTTGCTTAAACATCTCCACTTTAAAAAATTAAGCAATCGGCGAATTCCTTGTTCTCCGTTTTGAGACCGTGGAACTTCGTCCGGGAGCTCCCTTAATAAAGCTGCTTTAAGCTTAAAAAAAAAAAAAAAGGAAAAATATTAAGCAATTGGTAAACCTAGGTTTAAATTTACTGTAGACCATTTAACCTGGCAGGAGCCCTGGGGCCATAATACAGATCACAGACGACTGCTACACAAAAGGTTGGCAGTTCAAATTCACTAGTTGCTCTTAGGAAGAAAGATAGCGAGTGCTCTTCTGCAAAGGGAACAGCCTCAGAGAGCTAAGGGGAGGTTGCCACGAGTGGGAACCACTAGAGGGCAGTTTGTTTTGGATTTCATGCAGCCTGTACGTGTGCTGCTCAGGACTTGGGTAATTTAGCTTTCACTGTTTCCTACAACCTGATTAGCTGGGAAGCCTCCATTCCTACCTACTAGAGTATAGCACTGTCTGTAGGGAGATGCATTGCTAACCCAAGGGACACACCTCTCCACCAGTTCAAATCCACTGGTGGCTCCACACGAAAAAGATGAGTCATCTCCTCTGTGCTTCACAGACTGGGGGACTCAACGGACAGTCAGCTATGAATCAGCTCTGACTCGATGACAATTAATTTCGGACTTTTGGTGGTCTTGAACCACATGCCTTTGGGATTGCAGAGCAGCTTCTTGCCACTAGGCCACCAGAGCTCCCTTTGGGTAGATAAACACTATCTAAATTGGAGTCTTAAGAACTGCTTTAAACAGGGAATTCAAACCACCAACCTTTTCAGTTATTTACTGAGTTCTTTATCTCTCCACTACTGTTACTGTGGCTGAGTCCCATCCAGTTGGAACCTATCCAGAGCTGACCCTCCCGCGGGTTTTCAGAGGCAGTTCATCAAACAGAAGGAGGAGCCTGCCCATCTTTCTCCTGTGGAGCAGCTGATGGATTTGAACTGTATGCCTTTGGGATCACAGCAGAGTTTCTTAACAGTGGGCCACCAAACTCCCTATTGGGTTCCTAACATCAGGCTGACCAGCTAGTTAAAAAGGGAACTCTGGCAGTTCAAATCCAACAGCAGCTTCTCAGGAGAAACATGGGCAACCTCCCGGTGACTGACAGCCTCTGGGACCCACTGAAGTGTCAGCTCTAAGTCTGCTCTGACTCCACAGAGGTAAGTCAGTTAGTAAAAAGGACACGGCCATTAAAACACTTTGGTCTTGGCATAGGAACAGCACAGTGGACGAGATCAAATTATAAGGGAATTTATATTTCATAAAAACGATTTTGTTGAGATTCAGTAAATTATGTTGGGACAACTAACTTGCCTTCTGGAAAGGAGGAAAGGTCCCTAACTTGTTCCTTACATGTAATTTTCAGACAAATCAGGGATGGCAAATTTATTTTGAAAATAGAAAGACTGTAAATATGGCTTTGTGAGCTACTGTTTGTATCAAAACTACTTATTTCTCAAAGGTCTTACAGAAGCAGCCACAGACAGTAAGTTAAAAAAAAATGGGTGTGTGACTGTGTTACAATAGAAAAAATCAGTATGCAATCATAAAAACTGGAAAGAAATGTGCCATGAAAAAAGATTCAGAGCAGGTTATAAAAAGAATGTATAGAGAGAATAATTGTTTGCATAAATTTAAGAAAAACAGGAATCTAATTATTCCATTATCCATATGAAAATATCACAAAGGTTATGCATTTAGCCAATGTTAATACTTCATCTCTTCTGAGAAGGAACTGAGGAAAGAATGAAGTCCTTTTTTACTTCATATATTTTGTAATGGAAACCTTTTTACATGGCCCATTACTGACTTTTATATTAAAAAGGACACTATTCCCCAATTCACAATGAACTTACTTTTTTTTTTATTATTATTTTTGTGTGCGTGTACCGTCAAATCAGATCTGACTGGTACAGGAGGAGATTGTCCCTCCTTCCCCGGCAGAGCATCTGGTGGATTCGAACCGTGTGCCTCTGGGATTGTAGTTGCAGCTCCTTGCCACTAGGCCACCAGAGCTCCCCACAATTAACTTACTTTTTAAGAGCTACTGATATTTCCAAAGATATAATCACCAAAGACACAGTCAACTTGACTAATTTTCTTCAGCATTTCTAAATTATTTAACCATTAGTGAAAGATAAAAAGAGATTAAGAATAGCTATCTAGTCCAGATGTCCAACCACAATTGAATCGATTTAAGGTACATTCACATGATGGAATACTACGCAGCACTCAGAAGCAATGATTTTGTAAATTACTACCTAACTTAGGAGGAACTGGAGAGCATTATGCTGAGTGAACTAATTCAGTCCTACAAGGACAAATACTGTATAAGACCATTATTGTAGATCATGTACAAGGATCCAAGGCGGGGAGGGGAGCAGAAGGGTGAGGATGGGCAGGAGTGGAGGGCTTAATCATAAGGTCACACAATTTGAAGGATGGAAGGAAGGAGGGGTGAGTAAAGGAAAGGGGAAAGATCTAGTGTGAAAAACAATGTATATGAACATTTTAAGTAAAACAGTATAAAATAAAAAATTTATTTAAAAATAAAAAAAAAGAACAGCTGTCTAAGGGGGAAAAATAAAACTGAAGGACTATGCAGGATTCACTGGGAACTTTGGAATAATACTAAACTTGAAGATGTCAAAAATAAAAGTATATAAAGATAAAAGAAGCCCTAGTTCATGTCGTGTGTAACATATTTGGCTGCTAACAAAATAGCTGGCAGTTCAAATCCACCAGCTGCTCCACAGGAGACAGACAGTACTTCCGCACAGACATGCAAAAGTGGAAACCCTGTGTTGGGTTGCTTTGAGCTGGAACAGACAATGGCAATGGGTATGGTTTGGTACAAGGAGAAAAAAGCACAGGTCCTGTGATAACAAACCTTTCTTTCAATTTCATCATCCAGTCTTCGTAGTTCCATCTCCCGCTGATCTTGCTGCTGCTTCAGAAAGCGCCTTCTTGCAGCATCTTGCAAGTGTATTTCTTTTCTTTTTAGCTCTCTCTTCACAGCGGCTAGTCTTGAAATACAAAATATAAGAACAAAGAAAGCTCTTCTCAATAAAGATTTTTAAAATGGAAAATGTTAAGTGTCAACAAAAAGCTGCAGGGCCTCTTATTGGGATCTATTTTTCCAATGTAGTTTTCTTTTACTGTGTAAAAAGTGAGAGGACACTGTGGGAACGGCTGAGTTTGACTTCTGCCAATTCCACAAAGGGGAATTGTTCTCATCAATAACACCTACAGCACAAAACTAATTCCTGAAAGGTTGGACATGGTCCCACACATACCTGCATCTACTTCTAATTCTAGCACCAATCCTACTGTTCTACGGGGTCTGAAATCTGTTGCAGTAACTACACATACTTCACAGAACCAAATTCATGGTTATAGGGTTTATTAGAGAAGTTAATAGGCTACAATTCAGGTTGGCAGTAGGATACAATGCCTCAGTCCAGAAAGCTTCTCAAGTGTGTTCACAATCCCCTTGATCTGAGCCTCATGGCTTTGGATTATTTCAATATAATTTCTATCTTTTATTTAAAGGAATAATATTAAAAAAAACCCCAAAACAATGCTCCCGTGTTACCATGGATGATGTATGTGTTCCTTTTTAGAATTTTAGTTCAAGGCTAAATGGCTTAGTTGGGCAAGTTTTTTTAAGCTACACTAAAAATCTGCTTCATAAATTCCTAAATTAAAAATTTTAAATGAGCATATTTTTGAATAGGCATTTAATACCCTTCCTGGCCCTCCAAAGTCTAAAATGTGCAACATAAACGCTAATCATTTTATGGGCCAATTTTCCAGTCATACAAACACAAATTTAAAACACAATTTAGAAAATTACGGTCATTAAAGGTGATTTATCTAACACTGTTATTACAAAGTAATTCAGTTCTGTGAATAACGTTTCCAATAATGCCCTCAGAAGTGCAATAGATTTTGTATTACTTTTGAACAATCAGTGCAAAGTCATATTTAGTATAGCTTTTAAAAATGACTACATTTTACTAGATCTCAATTTTTCGAAGAATGAAAACTCAGATTTCTTTTTCATTAATTTAAATACTTGCTTAGTAAAGCTATTATTAGAGCAGGAAAACGCCATGTGTGGTCTAGTGATGCGGAGCTGCAAGTCATCAGTAAAAGAAAGACGGGCAATCTCCTCCTATTAGCTGTTAATCGCATGGCAGGAGACTGCCCTCTCGCCTCCCTTGCAGCAGCTGCTGGATTCAAACTGCCTGCCTTCAGAATTGCAGCACGGTTTCTTACCACCTGGCTACCAGAGCTCCCTATTATACAGTCTCTGAAAACCCACTGGAGGGTCAGCTATGAACTAGTTCCAAGTCCATCGTACATAACAGCCACATAATGAAATAAGTATTATTTCATTAACTCAGCTATTCAGGAATTTTCCTCCCTAAGATATAAAACATACCTCTGTCTTTGTTCCAGCATCTTCTCTTCTTCTCGAAAGAGAATTTCTCTTCTTGTTTCTTCAGCTTTACGAAGCATTTCTTGCTTTTGGTACCAAGCTTCATCCTCAGCTCTTTGCTGGTCTACTTCAGCTTTCATATCTTCAACTGTCTGTCTTAATTAATACAGTATTATGAAAAGTCAAAGCGATTTTCAGTTAAAGAACATGCAAAATATCAAAAGGATATCTGATTAATACATAACTGAGTTACTTCTTCTAAATAAATTATTAAACATTTTAAAGACATTTTTAGTCTCCAAACTCTAATTCCATATCAACATTTAATAACTTAATGAAATTACGAATTAAAAAAAAAGGCATATAAGTAACAGAGATTCTGTTTCTAGCCAACAAGGAAGTATTTCATAATTACCTCTCTCTTAGGTAATCCAATTCGTCATTTCTTATTCTTTCTCGTTCCTGAGTCTGGTAATCCACGATGAACTTTGGATATTGGTTAAATACCGGATACTGGCCTTTCGTCAGAGGGACAAAAGCAGCAAGCATGTTTTCCGGATGAGTGTCAGGAGGTGTGGTGTCCATGAGATGATATGCTTCTCTAATCACAATACTTATGTCCAGGTTGTTCCGATGATGAAAAAAATACTGTGAATATATATATATGTGTTTAAGCTGTGATTCATAACACATTAATTATGAGGCAGCATAAAAACAAGAATAAAAAAATATAAATGTGTCTCATTAGGGCAGTATTTCTACCTTTCTTGTTTTGCATATTTAATGAAGCTTCTTTTAACCAAATTTAAAAATGAAGATTCAATTTCTTATTTTCAAAATAACATTAATTCTGAAGTAAAATTTTAAAAACAATTAATTAGAAAATTGAAAATGTTCTCTGGATTAGGGAAACAAATATTTCAACAGAAAAACAACTTCTGCTTGGTTCTTATTTTTCCGCATATCCAAAACAAATACATTGGAAAGTAAATTATCCTTTGAAGAGAAATTAGCTTGATTCTTCTTTTTAAAAAATTTTTATTATTATTATTATTATTATTTTATGTGTGTACCGTCAAATCAGATCTGACTGGTACAGGAGGAGATGGTCCCTCCTTCCTCAGCACAGCATCTGGTAGATTTGAACCATGCACCTCTGGGATTGCAATGCAGCTTTTTGCCACCAGGCCACCAGAGCTCACCTAGCTTGATTATTTAAAAAAATACCTGCATGGTAGTTTCACTCTTTCTGTATTATGTTGTATTGGCAATCTAGAATTATAGTGTATCTATCTTGTGGTCATGAAATGAAAAAAAATCCAATAATTAAATTGGCAGGAATTCCAATATAATTTTAAAAAATGATCGATCAAGTCAGCCTGCCTGTCAAAAGTGCCTCTGCTTTTGAAAAATCTCCTCTAATGGTTTTTCTCAGTCACTTTGCTGCCAAGTGTCAAGATTCTCACATTTCCTGTTCTGCATGGGACGGAGCATCCAGACCGTCACAGAGCAGATGGGTCACCGGCTGGAACACACACAGAATGAACCATCACTCAACTGCGAAAGGTCTTTTCCTGGGCTCTTTAAGCACAAACCCCCAATATTATGAGTCTTTTCTGAAGCTTTGATTACAAGAACTGAGGACATTGTTATAGTTATTTATTAACTGCTAGTTAATTAACTGCCTATATAAGTCTTCAACCTATCCCAAGCAAAGAAAAAGACTTTTGATAAAACATCTTCTGAATATGTGCCCCTTGCACAGCAGGTGAAAGACTTCCATAATTGGACCCCTAACAGATAACCACTTGAGGAGCAAGAAGGATGAACTGTGAATCCTGGCTGGAATCCAGGTGGGGAGTATTCTGAAGCAGCCTGACTCTACAGAGGTTTGAGTTCTGGTTCAGGTGAGACATTGGGAGCAATGTTTACTGGCCATTGGCTGTGAGTTGATTGTATTCAGCCTCCTATTCAAAAAGGCATTTGGTCACCAGTATGGGGCTGGAATCCAGGTAAGGAGTATTCTAAAGCAGCCTGACTCTACAGAGGTTTGATTTCTGGTTCTCGTGGTTGCTGTGATGCTAAACACTGTGACACTGATGTGTCAAATGCCATAATGGCTACCCAAGGTGGACAGTGTCTGATGAAGCTCCCCAATCAAAACAAGCTTGGAAGCAGAGGTGGCATCCACTTCTGAGATAGCTTGTCTCTGGAAACTCTATGAATGTGGAGAAACTAAGAAAGTTATACAAGTGTTCAGGTCTTTCATTCATAGGGTCGCTATGAGTCATCCACGACTTGATAGCACTTAACAAAAAATAACAACAATATTATATATGGGCAAGGCTCTGGTCTGCTTTTCTCTCCACTGCATTCCTAGCACTCGGCACCAACCAATAAAAACCCCACTGCTGTGGAGTGGATTTTGACTGTTAGACACTATAGGACAGAGTGGAACTTCCCCACTGGTTTCTCCAAACCTTTCTCGGCTGGTAGGTTCAGACCATGAACCCCACTTAGTTTACTGGCTGAGAGCTGAACCACTGCACCCCCAGAGCTCCTTTCACTTAGTGCCAGTGCCTGGCACATAAAAGGTAATCCGTAAAATATTCATTTTATTCCATTCAAGTAACTAAAATTTGAGAACTTCTTCTTAAAAACAAAGATGTTTACCTCAAAATCATCTTTAAGATTACAGTTGAGCAAAGGCACTCTGGAACACGTGTTATAGGCAACAACGGTCATCAGCAGGAAGGACGGATGGTTGGAGAAGACATTGTCAAATAACTTCAACCATTCCTCTCTTGTCAGCACTTCAGAGAACACAGTTTCAAGAAGAGGCCAGGCATACACCTAAAATAAATAAGAAAGAATTGTTTTTTAGGAAAGTCATAAAAGAATCACTGCTAAAATGCTCTTGTGAGAATGGCGTAAGCTATTAAAATAATAATAATATAAAGAATATAATTATGAAAATAATTTCCTTAATTTAGACTTTTAATTATGTATAGACTGTCTGAAAAGCCGTTTAATGAGAAAAAAGAATGTAATGCTATTCAAAATATAAAATCTAATAACTTCTCTATTCTACATTTTCAAGAAAATAGCATCTTTCCTGATAGAGGGGATAAAAAGACTATCAAGTATAACTGAAAACCAGCAGTATCAGCAGAGGGTAAACTGGATGATTGGGACTTCCAAAACCCGAATTCTCACGTCCATCAGATTTCTCTAAAAAGTAAAATGAGAACCTACAGCCTGGGGGGAGGGGGATATACGGCAATGCCCACCACCTCTGACCAGGGACTGGTCTATAGCAAGCTCACAAACTTCAACAAGAAAAAGAGAAACAATTATAAAAAGGGCAGAGGATGTGAAAGGACATTTTTATTGCATTAGTTAATGGAGTATAAAACTAGTGTTACAGAAAGTCAGGGAAAGGTTTGTGCTTAGAATTATTCTTTCATGGGTCCCAGGGATAGGAAAGGAGGGAGAAGGGAGTAAATATGAGCAAACAGATATAGGCATATATGAAGATGGGTACCTGTATCTCCAGTCAGGGGGTGATCAGCACAGTATCACTAAAGAGTATCACAGACAACAGACAAGTACAGAAAGATTCATGGAAGTCAGAATTAGAGAAAGGAAGTGGAAAAGATAAGATTATATTATAGGTATTAAAATTAATGTTATTGACCAAACTATGTATGAATGAAAAGTTAATTTGCTTGTAAACCTTCACTAAAAAAAGAAAGGAAGAAAGTAATGGTTTTCCAACACCACTGACTTCCAAACCAAGTGAGCCACTGAGCAAACCTCCGATGCCCTACCTGGGAAGTGACAGCGTGATCCATGAAGTGCTGCAACAGTTGTTTGTCATGACATGCCAAGACGTTCTCTATCATACTAAGAATATTGATAGGAGGGTTGGGAAAATACTCAAACCAGTGTTGACACCAATTGACTAGGAAGGGGGAAAAAAAAAAGAAAAATTTGCCTCTAAGTAGCTTTCTGTCAGTAAATGATTCCACATTCTTAAATGTATTCAATTCTTTGTGTCCTCAACATGCCCATCACTATAGAAAATAGTTAACTTCCGAAATTCTAAAACAACAGATTTTTAAAGCCATTCATGTTAACTTGATATCTGCTGTTCTTGTTTGTCATTTAGTTGGAACTGACTCATCATAGGGACCCCTCCAGTAGGTTTTTATATTTTTATTTTTTTATGGTGAAAAAACTTTATATTTAGAATTAGCCAGCTGGAGGGAGCTCTGGTGGCCTAGTGGCAAGAAGCTGTACTGCAATCCCAGAGGTGCATGATTCAAATCCACCAGATGCTCTGCTGGAGAAGGAGGAGCAATCTTCTCCTGTACCAGTCAGATTTGATTTGGCGGTACACACAGAAAATATAATAAAATTAAAAAAAAAATAGAATTAGCCAGCTGGACTCAGTTTAGATGATCCCAATTTTGTTGGCAACATCCAAAGCATCATAATCAGGAGCAAGTCGAACATAGGCCTTCTTCTCTCCATCAGGCCTAATCAAAGAGTTGACCTTGGCCACATCAATGTCACAGAGCTTCTTTACAGTTTGTTTAATTTGGTGCTTATTGGCCTTGACATCCACAATGAACACAAGTGTGTTGTTATCTTCTATCTTCTTCATGGCTGACTCAGTGGTCAGGGGAAATTTGATGATGGCACAGTGGTCAAGCTTGTTTCTCCTGGGGGCGCTCTTCCGGGGGTATTTGGGCTGCCTTCAGAGTCTCAGCGTCTTAGGCTGCCAGAAAGTGGGTGACGTGCAGATCTTCCTTTTTTTGTGGCTGTGGATGCCCTTTAGGACGCCTTCTTGGCCTTTAATGCCTTTGCTTTGGCTTCAGATTTGGGAGGGGCAGGGGCTTCCTTCTTGGATTTTGGTGCCATCTTTGAAGAAAGGCTCCAGCATGTTTTTAGAGGCAGTAAATCACACAGAAGGAGATTGCCCATCATTCTCCTTTGGAGGAGCTGATGGATTCGAACCTCGTGCTTTTGGGATTGCAGCACAGGTTCTTAGGCCTTTGCTAATGTCATCATAAGAGTCAATGAAAAGAGTATCTCTTAAAAAAGGAGAGGCTCCTCAAAACTATACTGATTCTGGTCATAGGAGCATCTTGGTTCCTTCTGGCCTGCATTAGACCTGCATCAATGATATTGGTTAACTAAACAAGCCTTATAAAAAAGGTTCCCATATTTCTTCATTAATCCATGTTAACATGTCAATCTGAACTAAAGACCATACCCAATTCAAACTTTTAGGGGAAAAATTCAAAATGACATTTACATATTGATAGCAATGCATAAAAATGCATGAGTACATCCCTAACCAGAGAGTCAGTGATTCACATCCACCAGCCGCTCTGCTGGTGACAGCTGTCTGCTTCGATAAAGATTCAGAGCCGTGGAAACCATCGGGGCAGTTCTACCTGGTCCTGCTGGGTGCTTGCAGGCCTAACTGACCTCATGCCAGAGGGTTTGGGTTTCAGTTCGATATATTAAGAATTAAAAAGGGGAGCTCTGGTGGCCTAGTGGCAAGGAGCTGCAACTACAATCCCAGAGGCGCACGGTTTGAATCCACCAGATGCTCTGCCGGGGAAGGAGGGACAATCTCCTCTTGTACCAGTCAGATCTGATTTGATGGTACACGGACACACACACACACACAAAAGAATTAAAAAGTCCGCATAACATAAAAGTCTAGAGACATGAGACAAAGTCACTACCAGGATGACTTGAAATCTGTTAATGACAATTGGTTTCAGTAAACTTGACTTTGAAAAGCAGCTACCCAACGGCAATGGCATTCTTGGAAAATGGTTCAAAGATAATTCCTCAGTGGGGAGGCCTCAACTCATGTGCACGCTGGAAGCAGCACAACACCCCCAACAACTTCTCAAAAACCTTGCCCAAGATCATGCACTTGCTTTGTTCAACGTGCCTATGTCACACCCACCACAGTGTTCCCATAAGTCATTAATACAATTTTCTTTTTTTTTATTTCAAATACTGAATGATGGCTTCATCATTTGACATTAAAATGTCCTCCATTCTTAAGTTAACAAAGAAGGTTTTTATCAGTAGAATTCTGGATTATATATGTATTATAAGGCTCTTCCAATTCTATATTTCTATTATTTATTAGTGAGTATTTGAGTTGGTAATTCAATCATACAATAAGGCTTCTTGCAAAGACTAAACCTTTCAACTTCTTTAAATTGCTAATCTTAAATAACTTTAAAGGGAAAGCTACTCTGTAATATTACGTAATACTTCCAATTTCTCAACTATGTAAGACACTGTTTAACAACTCAACACATTGCTGTCAAGCCAAACTGACTCACAGCTGACTCTCCAGCAAGTGTTTAGACTGTAAATGGCATGGGAGAAGAATGTCTATCTTTATCCCTTGGAGGAACTAGTGGTTTCGAACTGCCTGCCTTTGGTTTTTACCCTTATACTTTCAATCTCTCAACTAGGTAAGACACTGTTAGTTCTATGAACTTCAAAAGCTACACGTATACCTCACCCTTTCATATCCATTTAATCTGCATCAAGAAAACAATGCTTTCATCCCTGGTTATGGGCAGAGGCACACCTGACTGATGATGGTGCTCTTTTATCAATCAGGGGCACAGCAGACTGAGTCCTTTGTTCATCCTAGCTTGATGCCTGTGTTGTGGTCAAAGCTATTTCATGCCGAGGGCACATAAAAATCTTCGAAAAAAAAATCATTGCTTTCCATTAGGCAGGAGGAGGACAGCTCGCTTTTTCTCAACGAAATTGTGATCTGGTATCACCAGAACAAAAGTGAGGGGAGAAGATTTAGAGAACTGATGGAAGGTGCAATAAAAAGAAAGGGTGACGTGGTGGAATTCCTTCACTGAACTCACTATTTATAAGAGACGGTAACCAGTATTTGGAAGTAACTTCTATAAGCACAGGGTTCTTCTCCTGAATGAAAACAGTGGTCCTGTGAATCTTTCCTAAACTGAAATGGTGTAAAGTGAAGAAGTAATTACAACTCATTAACATGGGAAGAATGTCCAATGATTCTAGACCCTAAAAATGTCCTACCAAATCATAACAAATACAATAGAAAACCTAAAATATCAAAAAAGTGGTGGTGGCTTCATGATTCCCTAATTGCACTTACTTATGAGAGTAGCAACAACTTCGAAGCAGACAAGCTGATTGTTCTGGAATAACTTGACAAATGGAAATGCCAAGAGCGGAAGATATGGAGTCTCACTGAAGATGGCAGACCAATGAGCTAATGCAGATAGAGTCCTGAGAACAAACAGAAAACAATCTGTTATTACAAAGTAAACATGACAATATTTTCCTCCTACTCCTACCATCTAGTTCTATCACCTCTAGAAGCAACCACTGTTAAGTGTCCTTTAAAAAAAAGGTGGTATAATATCGTTTCTATTGTAACACTTATAATATGGTTCTTCATCTTGTATTTTTCTATTAATTGTGTTATGGAAATAGTTCGTATCGATACACACAGATATTTTACGGAAGCATAAGACGGCTCTCTGTATCTATACACCTTGTTTTCTTTAACCTGGCTTCCACTGCTTGGCATTTGCTTCCAGTCTTTTATAAACAATACTGCACTTAATGTCACTGGATAAACATTCTTTATTTGGGAATAGGGAGCTCTGGCAGCTGAGTGGTAAGAAGCGGTACAGCCAATCCAAAGGTACACGGTTTGAAACCATCAGCTTTTCCATAGGAGGAAGAGGGGCACTTTCTTCCTGTGTGATTTACTGTCTCTGAAAGCCCACTTGACAGTCAGTTGTTACTCTGTTCTGACTTGACAAGTACATAACAACAACACGTTAGTTCTGACTCATAGCCTTTCTTCATGTGGAAATACAGACTTGGATGAAGACCCAGGAGTGAAATTGCTGAGTCAAAAGCTCTACACTTTTGACATTTTGAAAGCCAGAGTCAAATTTTTCTTGACAAACATAGTACCTAATTAAGGAGATGCTAGGTTTGGGTCAAGAGACTTAAAAGACATATCAACCAAATACAACGTGTGCACCTTGTTGGACCTTAAATTGAACAAATTTACCATAAAAATATTAGGACATTAAAAGTAACAGGAATGCTGATTGGGTAAAAAAAATCAGGAATTATTGTTATGATTAATTTTTTTTTAGTGTGATAATAGTACTGTTATGGTAAAAGGGGAAATTTCACCTTCATGGTTAGTTATATGAATAGAAATGTTAAGGGGAGGGGGTGTGTTTATATGAAGACAGGCTGGGTTGGGGTAGATAGTAAATATTGCTGAAGCTCGACGAGTCATGAGTTGGTTAATCGCTGAAGACGAGTGTTGGGCACAGGGTTATCCATTCTTTTATTCTATTTTCATTTGTGTTTGAGATTTTACATAATTGAAACCTTAACACGTTGCCGCAAATGACGGCAAAATGTGTTTTTAAGCATGGTCATCAATTTAAAAGTATGTGGCAACGTGCTTAAACAAGTCTCAGCCTCTTTATGTCCTTTATCTAAAAAACAGAAAGCAGTACTTAGCACACGAAAATGCCATCAAGTATTACCCGTCATCATCGTTAATGTGTCAGTTCATCATCGTCTGGTGGCTGTTACGTTGCTGTGATGCTGGAAGCTTTGCTGCAGGGCCACTCACGGTGGGGAGGGCTGCGGCAGAGCTTCACGACTAAGACGAGGATGAGGCCTGGCCCCCGGCTTCTGACATAACATAACAAGGTGCCCTTGACAACCTCATCAACAGCGGAGCAGTGGCTCGTATAGTGCCTGAGGATGAGCCCCACAGGGGAAATCCAAAATCTCTGTAGATGTTCATTGAAATTAATAATAATTAAAAAAAATACCAGGTGCCACACACCAAAGTTTGATGAAGAACACTGTGGACTGTGTTATACCAAGGACCTTGATGTCTCCAGAAAATAATGAACTCAGACCCCAGGCCCCTTATTCCCTAGAGTGTGTGGTTATGATTAATTTTACTCTCTCTGCCCCTTGTTGGCTTTGCTGTCTACTCTGTCTGCTGTAGATATGACTATGAATGTAGAAACATCATCTGCCACACCTGCATTTGGTCATGGATGTTAAGTCATCTTCACCCGTCCTTATCCTGCTTATCTGCCTGCATATCCAATTCTAGATTAATGTTTATTATTGGTACTCAGACTACGAGTGTGAAGAGCTGTGTCCTCCAAACAGTCTTCCTTCATGCTGTGGGGTCAGTAAAGCTTTCAGCCAATAAGGGACCTTCACTTGCTGCAATGAAGAGAAACAGCCATACGCATCCACTAATACTCGGAATGTGGGAGAGTGCCAGTGAGATGGACTGACTCAATGGTTTCAACAACGAGCTTACGCCCAGCAGAGACTGTGAGGACGGCACAGGGTTGGGCTGTCCACAGGGCTGCTATGAGTGGGATCAACTGGATGGCTCCTAACACACTGGGTATCAGACACTGCTATAAAGGTTCTAAAAAGGAATTTAAGTTGTATTTCTCCAGCAATCTTATGATGTTGTTGTTATTCTATCCATTTTCAGATAGAGAAATAACGGCTAAAATGAAAATAGCATGCCCTATGTCACAGTTACTGGTGGCAGAACACAGATTCAAAATTTGAGAATCTCTTTCTACTATGAATTTTTGTTCCTTTAGATGGTCTGAAAGTTTCCTAATTGAGAACAAAGGCTAATATTATAATATATACAAAATATGTTGTTGTTGTTATGTGCTGTCGAGTTGCCTGTGACTCATAGCGACCATATGTACAACAGCCCTAAACTCCGCCCTATCCTGTGCCAATCGCACTGTCTCCAACACTCCCATCCCAATTACCCCAGTCACTGAATCAATCC